CGTGATATTATGTCTTTTCTGCTCAAGCAAATAAGTGAATGTGAAGGAGTCCAGGAAACTTTACAGAAACCTGTACCTTTTTCTCCTCAAAAGCTTTCTACACCAAGGCCCAAAACCAAAGCATCACACCAGCAGTCCACAAACTTTTAGGACACTCCTGGAAGTTGATCAAGATGCATGGGGACTTTGGATTGAAAGAATCGGATGAATAAGATTTAGAAGCAAACAACAAAATTTTGCGATCAATCCGGTTGAAACTTGCGAGAAAACCTCTCAATCTAGATGACGTGATCAATAGATTATGGTTGGGATTCGATCCAATGGTTAACACTGTCCGCTTGAAAGCCCAACTATACTGCAAGCATTGTAATGATTACAAGGATTCAACCAGGTACTGAAGAATCAAGAGCCCAATGTTTGGTCCACTAAATGATGATGATGCATTATTTGAAAGTTTAGTTGTTTCCACTTGAAGATACTTTGAATAAACTTAAAAAATAAGAATTATTCTATCAAACATGATGAGTCGTGACAAGTCTGGAAATATATGTCTGCCCAAATATGAAAATTCAGTCCCAAACCCCAAATTTTCATTTTTTTGAAAATTTATTGCCTTGTTCTAAAGTGCTCATAAAAATACTTCTAAAACACAAAAATAAATGCAAACAAAGCACACCGTCCAATTCGATAGGGAAATAAAATATTTAATTTAAAAGGAAATCTCATAATATTATATAAGCGTTTCAATGTTTACAAGTGACATGTTCCATGAAGAATTAATTTGTTAATCTCGAGGTTGGATGTTGGTTGGAGTAGAAGAAACGAACTTGGACACCTGTTTAGATAAGTGGTCAAAGATTTATTTTTATATACAAGTTGTAAAAATGTCTATGGTAAGTGGTATACTGTAGCGAGTTGAAGGTGTGTTGTACTAGGAGTGAATTGAGAGCGTGAAAAAGAAGTATGCTTAACTCCGGATGACTACTTGGTAGTTATTGATTTTTTTGTGCTTGTCGCGTTGATAGGGTCCGTTCACTTACTGGGTTTACTGGAGGTCGTTTACAAAGCCTAATGGTCGGACGGGCAGTCAGTCATGCCTGTGTGAAATCTCTCTCCGTTTTTCTGTTGATCAGCCTATGTCTAGATTCTTATAGCCGATATAAGGGAAACGCGCGAACGTAGTTGTAGACATCTGTAGCAAACGAGATTCGCCCCAATAATAGCTAGCAATGTGATATATTTGTGTTTCTTTTAAAATTTGTTTTGAGTAGAATGCGTGTCACTTAGCTAGATGAAAATTGATGTGAAGTTAGAGATATTTGTTTTCTAATAATTGTGTAAATTTCGCTTTAATTTGTTATCTCTAATTATGTGTAAATTATGTTTTTTTCTGCTACAAATACTCCCTTACCAGAGAAAATGTTGTGTTGAGAATTTTCTCAAAATAACATTAATAAGAAAGTGTACAGGAAAAAATGAATTGATTTGATTACAGAATATCGAAAGTGGTGCTGAATACAAATTTAGTCCGACGAGTAAATTCTAGAGCATTTACTGTCCAAAAATGTTTGTTAAAATAGTGAGTTATGTTTGAAACTTGTATAGTTTGTAGGTAGCTTGCTGCTTGGAAAAAAAAAAAAAAAAAAATTTACATATCTTTACGGTAGTGCGTAGTGATTTTCTGCAATGAAAGTCTGTAAAAGAAGTAAATAGGCCAAAATTTTTATTTCTGCACCGGAAGTACACTGCACCAAATCAGTATTCATGATGGCAGTAATGGAGGACGAATGACCAAAAAGAATCCAATTTTTTCTTGTCGATAACTCCAAAACGGTAGGTTTCTTCATAATTTAATTGTTAATTCAAGTTCAGCATGTACATTTGCACAGAATTATGACGATTTTGGAAAATTTTAAGGGTTATTTAGCGCTCAGGTGTTAAAACCAAAATTTACCAAATATACCATTGCCAAATATACCATTGCCAAATAAAGATAACTCTCTTCTTTCTTCCAAGAGGAGATAACTCAGACGTTAATAATATTAAGTTCCCTACTAAACATAACAACTCAAGGACACATGGCACAGTGGATAAAGGTGTTGGTTAGATCCAGTGACAGGACCCAAAGTGTGTGAGTTCAATACCCAGTTAAGGCAGTGGAGAACTTGGAGGGGGGAATTAACAAGAGATAACTGATAACTGACATCCATTAAACATGGCACGTGGAAGTCTACTCCAGTGCACGAAATAAAGGGTTCAGTTTGACATTCCAACCACCTGAAGAGGGTTGGAGCATGCAATGGCTGAAACTTTGTAATAAATATGGCAATAAAAGTGAGGACATTAGTCCGAATAATGTAAATAGTATGTGGCATAATTCCAAACGAACGTCGGAGTTATCAATGAGATGTAGCGTGTCTAGGCCTCTCATCACATTTATTTAATTTTTGTTTAGGAACCCAAACTGATATACGAACAAAGGACATGGCAAAGATATCAAAATATATATATATATATATATATATATATAAATTGTATATATATGAAAAAGAAGCATGCAATGAGTCAGACGAGCATAGTCTCTTTGACTATAAAAGTTTATCAATGTTCTCTGAAAAGGAAATGAAAGAGTTCTTAGTCTGTTATAAATGTTTTAGACAGTTCTGCCGTGCAAGAGAAAAATTATATAAGTGTGATAGAATATGTAATTTGAGAGTGAGTGAGAAGATGGGCGTATGTGTGTGTGTGCGATGATGATGATCGCTATAAGTGTACATAATACCTCATCTCAGAAATATAGACAGATACATACAAAAATTGTATGACAAAGTGTAAGGCAGTATTTTAAAATGAAATAAATGATATTTTATTTTCATTTGTACTAATGAATAAATGGTGTTTGATAATATATTTTCAACCTCCCTATCATCACCACTGGAAAGAAAAAACCTATTTGCCTGTATCATTCCAAGTATAATTCTTTTGATATGATTTTGAAAATATATCTTTCAAAAACATAATAAAAAACAGCATTAGTGAAATTATTTAAAAAAAAAAGCAATTGGCATAATTCAAATTTATTCAAGACAGTCTGCATTCATTTACACACAACAAAGCAGTGGTAACAGATGAGGATGCTTTTATATGTATCATTGTGCCAAGAAAATATGACTTTTGCTCAAGAGTCATAACTCATCTTAATAGCTATTGACATTTATTCTTAAATTTCATAAATAGTGACACAAATTGTAAGAAAAATATAACTTCAAAAGAGAAGTAAGATATTTTAAAGTTATTGATTGATGACGTTACTACTTTGGAAATTATAAAAAAAAAATTGAATAGAAAAAAATACAAATAATGAAAAACAATTTGCAAGATAAATACCAGAAAAAAATAATTTTAAAACTATCACAAAAAATGTTTTGAGAAAAAGTAAAAGGGTAATAAGAAAAGAAATTGGACAAATGTAGCAAGAAGACATTTGAAGATGTTGTTGCTAAAATGAACAGAAAAGATGCAGAATAATAGGATTGTCAACTAAAAATATGAAAGCAACCAAATTTCTATGTAAACATCACAAAAAGAAACAAGTTTAATGAAGATGTACATGAAAATCTCAACAGTAATTTTTAGTGATAAATATAGAATTACATTGGATGGATCTGATGGTTGGCCTAGAGGTTGGATCCTTCATGAAAATAATCAACTGACATGACTCTGAAGACTTAGTTGGTATCTTGAAGTTGAACTGCCTGGTAAAGTGCATTGGCAGGTTGATTGATCAAGGTCATGAAGGTGGGCTGATTTGTTGCAAGGCCTGGTAACATGTGTTAGCATGTTGGTTGCTGAGGTTATAGTAGTGGCTGAGAGGGAGGCCTTGAATGGTTAACAAAGCTATGAATTTGACTTTGCCACTACAAACGTGCGAGTGTGACGAGTTGGGAGAAGTCACAAATCTAACTTTGTTGAAACAGTGAATGTGTTGGCAATTTGGTAGTGGAATATCTGTTGGATTCTGATTGAATAGAAGATCAATAGAAACAGGGTCATGATAGTGATAACGAGGGGAGCCTGAAGGGGTCAAGGTGTTAGAAATTATGGTGGTGGCGTTGGCAGCCCGGAAGAATCAGAGCTGGACCGTTGACCGCATTCTGTGTGTGAAGAGTCGAGTGAGATTAGTGAAGCATGGGCAACAGTACTTTTGATGTAGACCAGTGGGTCTGTCATCCTGCTAGTGTGTCTGTCGTTAATTAGAGACTTTCTTTTAAGCAAATCTGGTTACCCCAATGTAATCGTTTCTTCAATGGGAATGTCTATGATTGGCTACTGAATTTTATTGGGTACTTTGTTTTGTGGACTGGATGGGATGCTCAGAGACCCTGCACAGAAAACAACTTTTTTATTTTGTGTTTTACTTTCTTAATGTTCACATCCAGTTGACATGTTGTATTGTGAATCAGAAAAAAAGAGATCTAATTTGCAGCAGAGTATAACAAATTGAAAAAAAGGATCATTAAATATATCTGGCTTCAGTGTCTGCATGAATCCACTTTCATATTTAAATGAAAAATAGTGTACGTATGTGTGTGTGCATGTGGATGGTTCTGTTTGTATGTGGGCTGTGATCCAAAGGGTCAGAATCTGTTTTTGGCAAATGGGTTTCATGATTCTAGCATTGCTAATTATCAGCTTTTGAAATGAAATTTACTGGTTAAAAACATTCATTAAGAACTGAGAGGAAGAAAAAAGATAAAAATGCAAAAATCCAATCAAAATACATTGTTCAGTTGTTGTTTAAAATAATACAACAATGCATAATTGAGTTTATATAAAACTTTATTTAATAAAAACACCGAGGCAGACAATCAGGGAATAAGGCAAGGCCCTGTGGAAATTGCAAAGAATTATTATGACAAGGAATAATAAAAATGTGGAACTATTGGATTTCAAACTTATTTTTCAGTTTCTTTTATATTATTGCTTTCTTGACATATCATTTAATTTGGCTGTTGTACAATATTGTCTCCTTGAGCCTCTTCAATTGATTCTTTTTGTGATGAACGCATTACAATTGGAGCCCCTGGAGCTGCCGTCACAATAACCCAATGATTTTGTTCTTCCTCTGCTTTGTGACTGTTTAAATAGGTATGTACAGAAACTTCATAGTCCATACTGAAAACAGTCCTGGAAATAAATAAAATGCCAATTGAAAACAATGCAGTGTATTAACAGGAAATCAACAAAATCGAGTAAGCTGTGGAGCACCATAATTGCTCCTATCCTGAAGAGACAGGGTGCATAAAGAGAGAGGGAGAGGGGGAGAGAGGGGGGAGGGGGAGAGTCATGTTTCATATTTAGTTCAAGTTGAAGAAGTCATCTGACTTTATTCAGATTCTCTTTTAGGATTTTCATCTTGGCAATAATTTTTTTACACACAAACACCTTAATTCCTTCTGGCTTTAGAAACTATTTCAAAATATAAAATAATTGGTTAAAAACAAATAGACTGCACTTACCTCTCTGAATGAATAGAAACAATTTTAATATTATTCTTTATAAAATTTGCAGATTTGCGCATAAAAGCTAAATTTTGTTTTGTAAAAGGAGAACAATAGTTTTCACTTTTGTTAAGTGATATAAATTGCAATCTGTACAAATTCAGCCACACTCCCTTTGCTGGGCTGGAATCTTGAATGCTTTGTCCTTCTTTCCTCCAGCAATTTTCATGTTAACATCTTCATCAATTCTTTAAAAATGACTTCTCTCTTCATTTTTTATTCCTCACTCTTATTTTCTCCCTCTGTGAACACTTGCATGAAAAGATACTTTTATTTTATCCATTCTTTACAGAAAATGCTTTTCGAATGAATTATCATTTTTCTCACCTTATATTTACATTGTGTATCCCCATATACAACACCTGTCATTTTTTCCTATCTTCTAAATGTTTTCCTGTGCATTGTGGTGATCTTAGCAAGAGACATATCAAAAAGGAAACAAAATTTCAATGCTCTTACTTTCTAAACTAAAATGAGTTTAAATAATATTTTTACATAACTTTTAATTCCTTTTCTTGACTGACCTATAGGGCATTAAAAAGGAGTGGATGAACTTTAACTTGGAAATAAATCTTACTATAATATCCTTTAGTTAGGTGCTTTGATATATTTGATATAATGAAAACACACAGTCTAGTTCGGATTAATCTTTATTGAATGTAACTGAAGAGTCTAGCCATTTTGCCTAAGATGGCATGACTTATTTATACAAATCATAAGACAGGGGAGGTAATCGGGTTGTCTTACCACATTCTCCCTAGCTTTGTTTTCTCTTAGTTCGACATGAAATCATCCAGGGGATTGTGTCTCTTGTCTCTGGAATCATCTCAGTAGCAGCTGATCTGGGCTTTCAGATGTTACAGGAACAGTTGGGCAGAAGTATTGCATCTCATACTGTTTTTGTCTCCTTCTTGGAGTGGTACACTCTAATTCTGTGGTAGTATGCTCTCATTTTAAGGGTGCTATTCTGGTGTCGATCTCTGTATCATCACTATCAGGGCCTTGTTTCTCAGGAGACTCGAATGGCATTGCGTAGCCATTACTATCAAGAGGGAAAGATATAGCTTCAGGAGAGAGCTGCTCCTCCCTCTGGTTTGATAACTCACCAGCAAGGGCCAAATCTCTGAGGAAATCGTTCGATTGCCTCGAGTGGGGGTGCTGGTTGCATGCACAGAGTGGGTTTGCCTCGAGCAGTTCCACCTTACTCATGGAAAAATCATACTTGCTTTGTCAAACATGGTTTCTAACTAAAACAGTACCTGACTGTGAGAGCTACAAAGAGAGGGAGATCCTTCACTTTGGAAATTTTAAAAATCTTTCGTGAAGTGTTGCATCAACTCTTGTACACAATAGTATTCTTATAGCAAATAAAGCCTCAGTTATTATGTTTTCCCAATGTCTTATTGGAAGGTGTTGGTTTTCAAGTACTAACTGTACAGTCTTCCATAATATGCCATTGTATCTCTCGCATTGTCCATTCCCTTGATGATTGTATGGAGTAGTCCAACTTACGGTTATTTCCTGTACCAATAGGAATCTTCTTAGTTGGTCGGACATAAAGGAGGTTCCGCAATCTGTATGAATATAAGCTGGCACTTTGAATAGTGAGAACAGTAAGCAAAGACAGTATATGACCATTGTTGCACTTACATCTGGACAGGGAGAGGCAAAAGGGAATTGTGAGTAAAGGGAAATTAACAGGAGATAACTGATAACTGACATCCATTAAAACATGGCATGTGGAACTAGAACAGTCTACCTCAATGAGCGAAATAAAGGGTTCAGTTCAACATTCCAACCGCAGGCCAAAACATTGTAATAAATATGGCGACAAAGATGAGGAAAATAGTCCAAATAATGTAAATAATGTCGTCAATGATAGTTAGTAGATATTTGTTTCAAGATTTAGATGGAGGAGAGCCCTTTCAGTCCATGCTCAGCCTCTCAAATGGCTGTATAGCTTTTACTAGGATTCCTGGTTTAGGTTTGTAGAACCTTTGGTTTTATTCGAGCGTAAATATGACAACCGTTTCTTTACAGAGTCCAAGTTGTTCTGGTTTAACGTAATTGTCCATAATTATGTTCAATAAACTGTAATGAAAACTTGGAGTTGAGTTCAGCTTAATGTACCTTTATTGAACATGACTGAAGTGTCTTGCTATTTTGGCTAAGCCGGCATTGACTTATTTATAAGATTGTCATCACACACATTAATTTTTTAAAATTAAACTGATTTTATTTTCTTTGATTTTAACAGAATGTTTCAAATCTTGTGTAAGTTTATATTTATGAGATAAGGAATTGCATTTTCATCTGGCAACACAAGGTAAACTTGCTTATCAATATAGATTTTTGTATGTGCCTTTCAGAATGTCTTTTTTATTTAACTGACTGAAAGTGAACAAAGAAACATGATCAGGTAAATTAACAGGGAGCCAAAGAGAGGAGAAAAAATGAATTGGAACAAGATTAAAAGAGTCAATAACAGTCTGCAGCACCAGTGGCGTAGCTAGAGTAAACGTCACCAGGGCGGTCCGCTCAAATGTCACCCCAATGACTCCGATTCACCCTATGCTGAATGGTTAGCTGTAGCTAAATTTTCATACATACTCTACCTCTACTTTACTCTACTGACCGGTACGTTACTGTTTACATGTATGATCCAAGACAAAATCCAATACCACAAAATAATCAGTTCAAATCAAAAGATTTTAAAAATTCAACTGTTCACTTTCAGAACAACTAAATACAAAACACGGCAATACACAAAAGAATGACATTCGATACTATGGTCTTAGAATGAATGTTTTCTTGTTTTCATTGTGGCAAACTGGTCAATGACATTGTCAAAATCTGTTTGTCTTGTAAGCTCGTTTTCAATGGATAGCACAGCCAGATCCGACAGTCTCGACTGGCTCATGGTTGACGTAATTTTCTGTTGCTAATTTTCCGGTGTCCAATTTTCTGTTGCATCATTTTCTGGGTACCATTTAATTATCAATGATGTTTGAAAGTATTTTTCTTGACAAAAATGTTCTATTTAATTTTTAAGCATTTTTCGGAACATTGTAAATCAACTGCAAAAAAAAAAATTTTAAAAAGGTTACCTAGAGAATTTATGCAAAGTTTATTTTTTTGTTTTTCTTTATACAAGTAAAATAAATTTACATCGTATTTTGATGTTATTATGATTTTAGTTTTAGTGATAATTTAAAACAATAAATATTTATCATTAGTACCAATAATGGAAAATTAAGTTAAAAATTTAAAAGAATCGTTTTTGGAATCGGAAAAAAGGCACAATTTTTTCCGATTCCGATACAGTTTCTGATACCCCAAAAAGTTCCGATTTTTCCGATTCCGATCAATCGTCCCAACTCTAATAGATATATTCAAAAGTATATCGCTCACTCAATGGAAAATTGTATCTTAGTGAATTGATACACAGGCAAGACTGAAATTGTTGTACTTTTGGCTTCGTATTTCGCTTTGTTGTTATTAATGATGCAGAGTTAAAACACCATATCATCCGATAAAATGTTACAACAATGTCTCTTGTTAGTAACCAAGATTGTAGCAACTGAAACACATGAAAGCTGAAAACATTGCTATTTTTCCTACTCACAAATTTCCTGACAATTTATTAGAAAATTTCTGACGGGGGACAAAACACTGGTCATATATTATTTCAGAGGGGGGGGGTCATAATATGCCCGCCTGCGAAACCCTGTGTCTCCACCACTGTTTTCAGACTATTTTTGGCACATTAGCCTGGTTGAAAAATTTTGTTGGGGGTGACATTGTGTCACCCCTCCTGTGCTGCCCCCCCCTGTTAGCTACGCCACTGTGCAGCACAATGGTATTATGCCAAAATATCTGTCATAGAATTAATGTTGATATTCACTGGGTAAAATGCAATGCAAGTTGTAAAGAAAAACACCCAGAGATGAAACAGTTTAAGAGAATGAGAGGTAGTATAATTTAAAATTTGCTTCTTGATGATGTTAACAATTCTAAAACAATGCTGAACACAATTTAATAAATGCATTCCAAATTCAGGAAACCCAATCATGAGAAAGAAAGGAAAGAAAAACAATTTTTAATTGGAGCAACTTGAAGAAATGATTTATTCTTTTAAATTTTAAAACATTCTTTGCATTTGAAAATATTAAGACTTGAAATACCTGTTGTTCATCATTAAATGGAAAAACTTATTAATGGGGTTGGGGGTGCAATGATTATTGACACAGAAAATCAATCTATTTCTTTCACTATTTTAGTAGGGCCAAATAGTAGGGTAGACTGTACCCTTTAACCTTCATTGTTCAACCACCAGTCTAGAAGAAGGACAACTCTGAATTCAAGACTATTTTGAAGACATATGAGATCTCTATCAGGCTGTCTTACCCTAGACACACCCACTGTTGCTATTGCAACAGCTTTAGTACTGGTTATACTCCAATGACCTTGCAATGGGGTTTATAAGATGCATGCATTCATTTGATGTGCTGTGTAAATATAGAGTCCCCACTATTTTTCTTTTTGGTTTTGATTTTTTTTTTTAAAACGGAAAATTGGTTGAAAATAATTCCCATCTTAAGGAAGAAGGAAAGAAAAGAAAAATAAAGAAAGAAAGAAGAAGAGAAAAAAGATTAATTGATTTTTCATTACTGTTTGTTTTTGTTACAAACTTAATTCTTATAAAAAAAAACATTATTAAGATTGCTGGCTTTACTGAAAATCTCCAACAAAAAACAATTGCAATAATTTATAAAACTTTTATCGTTTAAGTAATTTAATTCAGAATAAAGAAAATGTAATTTGATTTGCAATTGTAAAAATATCTTTTGTTTTTAACAGAATTGTTATGTTTTTCTCTGCTGCCACCTATTTTTGTTTGATTCTTATTGGCTTGTTTTTAATCATCCTTTAACCTCCTTTAATTTTATATTAACCTTCTTTGTAAATCATCTTGAATAACATGGAAAATTTCTTCTTCTTTCTGTTTTAAAACATCTTAATGTTAAACAAGGATGATGTCATGTTATAGTTAACATTTTAGCTAAACTTCTTAATTCTTAGAAAGTTTTTCATTTTACATCAAATTCTATCTGTTCCTGTAAATAAATAAGAATCATAATTTAGAAAAAACTTAAAATTGAAATTGTTACATTGTAAAGCATAGATTGTCCAAATTAAGGTTATCTTTATCTCTTATTATGGTCAAGCTGAGAAGGCAGTGAGATGATGACAGATTGTTGGAGATTTAAAAGTGTGTCATCTTTTCAAACAAGTCCTGATTTGATAAATTTTCAACCAGAAGATGAGTTTAGGTGTGATGATTGCCAAGATAAGAATTGAAAAAAAAAAAAAAAATTCAAGCTGTCTACTGTCAAATATGGGTAGATGCCTGTTTAAGGTATTGGAAGTAATTTGAAGCACAAGTCATTCAAAGGTTCTAGAATGCGAGGAAAATATCAATTCAATAAAAATAGGTTTCCATTCTGCAAGAGCAACTTCTCTCAATATTTAATGACAGTTCTTTTGAAAAAATCTTTAAACCTTTCAATGAAGATGAAACTCTCTTGTACACACAGCAAAATAAAATCTGAAAATGTTAGTCTAATAAGAACTCATGAAGCTTTATGTGACCCATTAAACTTTAGTGCTGAAAAAAGTTTATTATATTGTGATGGTTGGTGACAAACGAGAGAGGAGATGGGGGTGTGCTTATTCTTCCCCAGTATTTTATTCATCTGGAAGAAAGTTCTTCAAATGACCAAGTACTTTGGGATTGTTGGGATGGCTCAACCTTATCAGGTCTTTCTTGTGTTTCTTCTTAATGTTCTGAGTTTGAGTCCTTAGACACAACATGCTTTTGCTTAATTCAATGCTTGGACTGTTCACCGTCTGAACTTGAAGAGTTGATAGTAGGACAAGCCCATTTCTGATGTATCAACATTCTTCAGAGCTAGATTCATACAATGAAGGACTTGAAGGCTCTAGGTAATCCTCATGAGAGGACTAGGGAATGCTGTCAGTGGAATCATCACTTGATGTATCAGCAGGTACTTCTTGTGCAGTTACAGGACCTGCTTCCTTTCCTGCTGGGGCCAGTATCTTGCCTCCTGTGTCTGGATAGCATGTACTTGAGCAAGGTTAGGGTGTTTTGCCTCTATTAGCTCTACTTTATCCATAAATCATTCATGCTTTGCTCTGGTGAGCATAACATCTCAGTAGCATAGTCCCTGATTGTCCAAGCAACAATGGTGGGGGAGAGAAAATGTCATAATATTCTTGAATTGTTTAAGGTATTAAATAAAATTTGTTGGTTGAAAATAAAATTATAGTTTTACCATGTTCCTGTAAGTGATAACAGAAACAAACAAATGTTAGTCAATTATTTCTCTTCCTTTTTTGATATTCACTTTAAATGTTTTGATCATTTCTTTCATGTCCAAACAAAGCAAAAAACAATGCCAAAAAAGGGTTTGAAGTGAAAAAAAAAGGTAAAATTTAGTGATGTACAGGATTCTGTAAATAAATGTCTGGAAAGAACACAAGTCGATTGTTGCAATAAACAAATATTGAAACTGAAAATATGTATAGCAAGAAAGGAATGAAATTATTTACTGGAAATGTATAGACATGTTTATATTCAGAGAAGGTACACAATAGGTTCACTTAAATTGTGACAATAATAGATGATAATAAAAACTTTCTTTGGACTTTTTTTACAACATTTTTATAGTAAATAATTTGAATTCAATTTATTAATTTGTGATAAGGTGATATTTTGTGCACTATGAGGAGTTTTTTTACCTTATTCAGAAAAGACCTTGAATCTCTTTTAGCTCTTATTAAATGAGTTATCTAACTTAATCAAGAAACAATGGTGAATGCTGAAAAATGACTTCACAAAATGGTTGCCTGATTATCATAAGATCTATTCAAAGAATTTTCATATGCACCTTTTTTTTAACAACAAGGACCATTCTTAGAAATATTTAAAATAGATAACTGTAACTTCCTTAATATCTAAAGCTGATCAAAGATATTCAGCTGATCCAATAATGATGTTTGATTAATTCCTCTTCATTTAATTAATAAGTTTTGTTTTATCTGAGAAGCAGATATATCAAGCGCTTTAATTGCAGAACAACTTCATAGTCTGGCTGCTTTAGCATTTTTGTTATATCATTCTGAGCTAAAATTTTATGAAGAGGTTTTTTTTTTACAGAGAAAACTTAATTCTTTAAATTATGGTTGATTTTAAAATTTAAACTAATTTACAATCAATATCTTCTAATATGTGTCCTGAGAGTTTTCTTAAATAAAGGATTTTTTACTTTCATAGCGCTATAGAAACAGAAAATGATATTGATTTTACTTGGGACTAAACAACACAATATTATCAGGATGAATTAAATAGTATTATCACTGAACATAAAAAACATTTCAACAGGTTTTTAATAAGGCTAAGAAAGATTTCCAAGAAGTCAGATTTATGTAAGATGTGTAAAAGATACTGGCCAGAGAAAGTAAGAATAGAAGAACAAATTTGACTTTTAGACTGACATTGGCTGTCCTCTGTAAATGTCAGTCTTTAGATAAAACCTCTAAAGTTATCTCAATCATACACTGAAAACTGAAACAGCAAATGGAATTGGCCAGGCATAAAGAAATCAGTAATGGTTAGGCTCTATGAAGTTACATTGTTGTAAGTAATAATAAAATTATCACCTGATCAAACGAGCTTCATCTTCAACACAAAGATTTTGATTTGTATACACATGGTTGATTAGTACTGGAATGTTGGCCTGAAGTAAAGAAAAGAAGAAAGCAATTATAAGGAAACATTTTACCATAAACCAGTACTAATTATCTGGATTATTAATAAAAAAAAAACAACAAAAAACATTCTGTTTGCAATGTTAAAACATGAGGTCAATGATGAGATCAAAATATCTGCAATGATTCCAGGCTGCAGAAAATATATGAGAATGTGTTCCTTGATTTTTACTATTTGCGATAAAAGGTAAAAGAAGGTACCTTGATGATGATGCAAGTGATGCAATTAAAAGTTGCAAGATATATGCTAGTAATAAAACATGTCACTCAATGCAATAAAGTCCAGGAACATGGCTGAAGGTTAAATACAAGGTTATTTAATCATAAATGTATTGAACAAGGAGAAACACTTGAGAAGAAATTGGGATATTCAGCTATGAAAAGAATATCTCCATCTAATAAAGAACATGAAAATATGAGTGAAAATATCTTCCTTATATATGTAACTGTTTTGTGCAGTTTTTGAATAAAACTCAATGTAAAATCTCAAGTGTTTCATTGAATTGCTCTTCAGTAAAGGAGAAAATAAAGACAAACTTATTAAGAAAAGAAAGAGACTAATGAGTCAAACTTCCTGTTTGATTTTTATTTCTCACCAATAGAAAGCAACTGCTAAGTTGAATATAGAGAAAAATCATTAATCCTGACAGTTAATAAAATCAAACAAAAGGGGAAAGTCTATTGATTAGTATGGGTTTTTTTTTATTATGTTGTTCTTTCTTATTGCCTTTTTTCTAATGGGAAAAAAAGTGTATCTTTATAATCTGATGAACAAGTTTAGAATCTGGTTAGTAACAATAGATAAACAGGCAAAGTTTTATTATGACCCTTGGTTGTTTTAGTATGTTATCTGTTATTTTGGATGATGAAATTAACTTAAAAGAGAAAAATTGCTTCTTTGGTAAATAATGATATTTTTTAAATTTTATTTTATTTACGCATTGCAGAATCATTGGACCTCAAGTCAATGAATGTCAAGAATTTTTTTTGGAATTCTCTTGTCAATGAATTTTGCAATTTTATTCATCAGTGTCCAATTGATGTACCTTTGAATAATGATTTTAAAATGTGCTTCTTTGATATTTTATTGAAACACAATTACTAATTATTATTATTAATTGAGCCAATAATGCACAAAAGAGGCTGAAATGAAGACCAAGAATATGTAATGAAAACAATCAAGGGTCAATTTGGGTTAATTTGGGTCAATTTGGGTATTTGCAAGAAATTCTTACTTTTATATTTCAGACACACATTATGGGCATGAAAATGAATTATCAAAAAAGAAAAGAAGAAAAAAGGAAACAAATGTGGTCATTTTCTTTGTTTTTCTCTCTTCTATATTTGTAATAAGAGACAGAACTAAAGAAGTACCTTGATGAAGGTTTTAATAAACAGAATAGTCCATGACAGGGCTAAGAGCAAATAAGAATACATAGAAAAAAAGAGTTTTTTTATATATAGTACAGCAAAAAGTTGGATGATTCCAGAAGAGTCCAAATCAAGGGAAGTTAATGATTATGAAACTCCCACTTTCTCAGTATTGCTTTATTGTGTGAATTCACTAAACTTTGTTTTTTACTGAAATGTTACATACACTGATTTCAGGTGTAAAATCCAAGAAATACATTCAGTTTTGTATTACACTGAATACTGTGAACATTTTTAGTGCAAAAGAAAATTTTCATTTTACAAAGAATTGATAAAACAGTTTTCTTTGGTTAGTTAGATTTATATATAATAAAAAAACAAGAAGAAATATTGCTTATGTATATTTCTGTATCTTCAGTAGAGAAAACAGATTAAACAGAATTAATAATGAAGAAAAACAGCAGAGGTGGGAAAGGAGATTGAAGAATTACTAGTTCAGTCTAAATGTCATTCATTGTAGAGCAATGGTTACTTGGTTGTCTTTGCAGTTTAATGACAGAGAGTCTTGTCCTCTTGGGTATTTCCAAGATCTTTACTTGTATGTTAAATATTTAAAGTCTAATCCTTTTGCTTTTTACAAGGCACATTTATCAGATGAAAGATGATAGACAATTGTAATTTAAAGAATAATCTCATTTATAATCAGAAGCATAATCAACCTTGAAAGCAATGTTGTTGACAAATAAAAATCATACAGCTAAAAAAAAGTGCATTGAAGTGTTTTACAGAGTTGAATGAAAGAAATTACTCAAGTAGAAAAGAAATGACAAAATGAGCAACATTTTATAGAATACATATTAGATAGTTAAGAGCCACATAGTTTAGACTATAGACCAGAAATTTGATTTTCAATTTGTGATTGAGAGAAAGACGAAAAACTTTCATTTTCCATCTACTTGCTCAGGTTTAGATGTTAATTTGTTTACATCAGTGAGTGGAGACTATATTTTAATGAAAAATACTTTATTTTAACTTAATTTTAAAAATGATTCAATACTGTGTATCTGTAATTTGAAAAAGAGGAAAAAGATCATTCAGGCTTTCAGTAATGTTACCAATATTCATATTCTGGCTTTCATATTCAAAGTCCATTCAAGAACTATCAAGAGAACAGTGAATAAGTTTAAAAAAAGAGGGAAAAGTAGAGAGAAAAACTGGATTAGGAAGTCACAACATGAAGAGGGATCATCATTTTAACTTAAAGTTAAAGAGATCAATTAAAAAAGATTCAACTCAATCTGTAAAGATGTTTGATATGTGAAAGAGGACTTTCAGTTATGACAGTCCAAAGAGTAGTGAAAAAAAGACTTAAAAATGAAATCATACATGAAACCTGTGAGGCACCTTGTTACTCCAGGACAGAAGGTTAGAGAGTGAAGATCATCTTGAATAAGTTGGAAAATGATCCTGGAATAATATATATATATATATCCAAACTTTATTTCAATGCTTAATGAGCATCCAATCCTTAGCTATAATAAATTAATGATGAACATGTCATTTTTGCTTATGATCAATTTCATCACAATTCTTCTGTTAACTTTGGAGAGTAATTATACATTCTAATTGCTCAAAGTAGAGTCCAATAGTGTTATAAAAAGCTTAGAGAATTCCATTAAGATATCTTTAATCATTTTTAAGATACAATGGTTTAAAGCTTAATCTAACAAATAGGCAATTCTTCTGCTGTTACATGATTTGGACAATTTTGCTGTTACATCTGGTGTATATATATATATATATATATATATATATATATATAAAAGTGAACATAGAAGTCAACACTTAGAGGTGACAGTCTGTTCTATGCTAGATGCAACCATCAGGCCACAAGTGCTATAGCCAAGAAAAATAACAGCATTCGTGGCCTGACGATTGCATCTAGCATGGAACAGACTTTCACCTCTAAGTGTTGACTTCTATGTTCACTTTTATATTTATACATGCCCTATTTCTGATATTGAGTACTTTATCCCATAAATATAGCACATCTTAAGACTATATTTCTTCATATATATATGTGTGTGTGTGAATGTGTATCATTTGTGAGCTGTTTCCAAATTTTCCTGCAATATACAAAGCAAAGATAACTGAAATATATTAATAGGAAATTGGAAATCTTATAAAAGCCAAAATTACATGAGAAGATTATAACAATCCATATATACATATAAATGCACAAATATATATATATATATATATATATATATATATATATATATATATATATATATATATATATGCAAATACACATGCATGCATACTTTCTCTCTCATATCAACTTCATTCAGTGTAATTGTGCTTTTAATATAATTGTCATTTATACAAGAAATGATATTTTACTTCTATTAAATTAATCATTGTTGGATGTTTTACCCTTTAACTCACATGATAAAAAGGGTCAGACAAAATGAAAATCACAAAAATTCATGATAATAGTTGCATAGCTAAAATCACTCGATCATTTAAGTAAAATCAACGATTATCAATTTTTGACTAGTATTTTTTAATTCTTCAAAAACAATTAAAATTAAAATGAAAGAAATACAAGTTGAAAAATCTATTTGATTTCAGTTACAAAAAGAGACATTTACATATTATATTGCTATTGAGTTAATATTGAGTTAACTTAGCCAACATTAGTAACTGTGGCAAAATCAGTTCATATCAATTCCTGTTGCTTAGTTCCATAATATTGTTACCTAATATAATAATAGATCATTAGACCTGGTCAAATTTAATTAAAACCATGCTCACAACACAGTGTTACTTCCAACATGAAATACATCTGTTTACATTCCATTGTACATTATTGATAATGGTCACCACTGGCATGTTGTATTTTGTTTAATGATCAAACACTTTTATTGAGCACGACATTGAAAATTTGACTTGCAGTTGCATAAAGATTGCAGAGACTGACACGTCTACAACAAAAAATAATATCCAGTGCAGTGGCAAAAGCTACTGGTGGCACCAAGGGTGGCTGTACTGCCTTAGCCACTGAAATTGTGTTATCACCCCTGGTTGGTGGCTGATTAGGACAGGGTATTGCATGTGCTTTCACACATTGTATGTAGAAAACAGTTACTATTGCTAAATTAGGTATCTAATGAAATATGGAACATGCCTTTTTGACTCCAAGTTATAAAGAAACTAGAGGGATAATCTAGATGGATTTTATAGCAGGTTTCTGCAAGTAAAAGCCAGAAGTAGGAAAGTTGGGAGGGAATTAAAACATTGCTGAACTTGAAAAATTCACACAGCTTTTGTTTCTTAATTTGCATTGGGTGATTCATTGGTTAAAAAGCAGTTCTGGATTGTTCAGCATAGTTGGGTAACAAGATTACAGTGTTATATATTTGCTCAAGAGCAAGTAAGCAACATTTTTATTTTCATCAGGCACTAAATAAGAGTAAAATCAGGTAACTTGGACAACATCCGTTAACATTGTGGTCAAAGTAGAATAATACAATTCTATTTAGTTTGCCTTATTCTAAAATAAGCAAAATATTATTTCAAAGAAAATTCCAACAGC